CGTGTGGGGGGGGGGGGGGGGGTTAATGTCACGGAAACACTTGCCTCACCAGCCGAATCAGCCTCCTACACCCGCTCACAATCACCTGATTATTGATCACGGACTCCTGCACCCACTTACCACACCACTCAAATACTCACTCACCTCATTCACTCATCGATTGGTCTCAAGGTTGCAAGCTTCTCTGTCCTGGTTCCTCGCCTTCCGATCTGCCTGTCCCCCTCGGAATTCTCAGTTCTCGGCCGGAGGACCGGAGTGCCAACCCAGATAAGACTGCGTTTTTGCTTCTCTTACTGCCTATGTTGAACTCTTTTCCGTTGGAAGCCTCTCCTAAGTTCCTGTTATTAAACTCTCTGACTTACATTACCCTGCCTGTCTGCCTCTTTGTCCCTGTTGTGACAGTATACTGAATTAACATATTTTTCCGCAGTCTTAAAATTTTGTATATATCTTAGCCCAGCTATTTTAAACTGTTTGATCACATTCTAGGGTTACTATTATGCATTTAAAAACCCTAATACAACATTGATAGGAATACTGAGATCAAATACAAAAAAATACAACCATCAACGTATTTCAAAATTGTAAATTTTTTGTATTAACATTACAGAATAGAACATGATCAATATTATCTTTCAACGTTCAATTTAAATAATTGTAATTGCACAAACTATGTAGGCTACAATTTCAATTTGTTTATTGTGAAAACTCAAACATTTATGTTTTTTTTTTCTGTCCTCTAAGCATTGTTCAGGGCTGCCATTCCCAAAAGCTTTAATGCTTTCTTATGATACTTTTGGGAAATGCAGCCCTGTTTGAATGCACTGTCAGCAGTGAGTGAATGCTCTCTATGATTGATTGGTTCTATCTTGCAACATTTGCGTGTGTTCAGATGAGCAGTGTGTTCATACACAATTACTCGCTAACAAAGGTTATTCGTCCAATTCAATGCATATTGTACGTATTATTATTATTTTTGTTAAATAAACAAAACCACTGGTAAATAAAATGCACCTTAGTATCAATATTTTGTTTGAGTATCGATACTCGCATCAGTATCGATACGCCCATCCCTACCAGTCTGTATCCAATCCAGATGGTGGAGACAACTCTACAGCCCTGAATTTCAGCAGAGACCATGTCAACTAGATGAGCCCCAAAGACAGATCCCCAGTGAAGACCTCATCAACTATACGGCCATTGGCACAAAACCTGAACAAAGACTACGATGAAAAACACCATGTTGGTTTGTCTGGCCAGAGGAGAACTGCCCCCCCCCCCCCCCCATGAGCGTACGTATTATTATTATTTTTGTTAAATAAACAAAACCACTGGTAAATAAAACGCACCTTAGTATCAATATTTTGTTTGAGTATCGATACTCGCATCAGTATCGATACGCCCATCCCTACCAGTCTGTATCCAATCCAGATGGTGGAGACAACTCTACAGCCCTGAATTTCAGCAGAGACCATGTCAACTAGATGAGCCCCAAAGACAGATCCCCAGTGAAGACCTCATCAACTATACGGCCATTGGCACAAAACCTGAACAAAGACTACGATGAAAAACACCATGTTGGTTTGTCTGGCCAGAGGAGAACTGCCCCCCCACCCCCCGAATGAGCCTGGTTTCTACAAAGGTTTTTTTCTCAATTTCTGTCGCCTTTGGCTTGCTTATTTGGGGACACTTAATTTTTGTGAATATTAACGACTTGATTGCAGAGACACTATTTGAAGAGAACTGAACTGAGCTGGATGATGATGACGACTTCACTGAATCAACAATGAACTGACTTTAACTGAAATATTGACTGTTTACTTTTGCCCTCTTTTTAGAGCTACTTTACTGCATAACTGAATTTTGTTTGCATTATTGACACTATTTTCCTGTTTAACAATGTAAAGCTGTTTTGACACAATCTGTATTGTATGAAGTGCTATATACAGGTACATCTCAATAAATTAGAATGTCATGGAAAAGTTAATTTATTTCAGTAATTCAACTCAAATTGTGAAACTCGTGTATTAAATAAATTCAATGCACACAGACTGAAGTAGTTTAAGTCTTTGGTTCTTTTAATTGTGATGATTTTGGCTCACATTTAACAAAAACCCACCAATTCACTATCTCAACAAATTAGAATACTTCATAACACCAATAAAAAAAAACATTTTTAGTGAATTGTTGACCTTCTGGAAAGTATGTTCATTTACTGTACATGTAGGTGAGTTGACTTGCTTTTGACAATTCTTCCTAGAAGTGTTTGTGTGCAGTCTGTTTTGAACAATTTTGTATTTTTTTTTATACAATTTTGAATTGTATTAGTAGCCTTCAATTTTCATTTTGAAAGAAATCAGTAAATTAAGTTTACATCAAATCAGTCTCAAGTAAATTGTAATTACACAAATACAGTAAGTTGTGGTTACTTAATGTTTTCAAGGCAATGAGTTTCCTCAATTTAAGTGAGTAGACAGAACTCAGATTAACTTGTTAGTTTTAAGTTGAGTAGATTCACACTTTTAAGTATTCGCAATTTAATGGATTTCAGTTAATCCAATTTAAAAATAAAAAGAGACCACAACACATTTTCTTTTATTTGTTACTGTAACTCAGAATTGTCAAGTTCACTTAACTTTTTTCTTTTAATTATGCATGCATTTCATTTACTTAATAATTTTAAGGCAACGGGTTTCCTAAATTTTTTAAAGTAGTCAACTTCTCGCCTTTTACAGTGTACTAATATGTAACATTCAAGTACTTATATGCACTCTTTAGAGGTAAATAAAATACAAAGGCATACTCTTTAAAAGGGTGCTGTTCCAGTGACCGCTTTTGTATCTTTTTTCTGAGAATGTATCAGTGAACATTAGTGTATTTATAAATCAACATTAAAATCGATTAATTATTCATTGTTATAGCTCACAATATCTAATGCTTTAACATCAGCAAATTGAACCTTACTGTAAAGCAGGGGTGCCCAACCCTACTCCTGGAGATCGACTGTCCTGCAAAGTTTAGCTCCAATGCTACACCTGCCTTTAATTTTTAAGTGATCGTGAATACCCTAATTAGTTGCTTCAGGTGTGTTTGATTAGGGTTGGAGCTGAACTTTGCAGGAGAGTCGATCGCCAGGAGCAGGGTTGGGCACCCCTGCTGTAAAGTGTTACTAAATATCCATGACTGACTGTGAAGTCACATCTTTTAATTCACAGAAAATCTAGAAGTCTGTGGTTTTGAATTGGCTGAATATTATTTGGTTTTCACAAAATGTTCTATGACAGAAAGCCAAAGAACATGTTGTTCCCTGCTGGATAACTATAGCTAAAGCCGGCACAGATCTGAGCTCTGAAGGGAGAGTTATTCGAGTGCTTTATGAAAGCATTGGGTTGATGAAGTCATCTAATATGTAACTAATAACACACCGAGTATAGTCCAGAAACACACACACAGACAATACTTTGTACAAAACCCAATTACTGAACTTTATTACATTAAGTTTTTTTCCTGCAACATTTTTTTTTTTTATTCCAGTTTTCTTATTAACAAATAGAAAACAGACTGTGTATACAACAGATCGAACCTCTACAGCACTAATCATTCACAAGGTAAAAATGAACTTTCCAACATATTCTGAATGTATGGCCAGGTCTCCCTTTAACATGCCGGTTGTAATTGAGCAGGCATGAAATGTTGTCCTGTAGGAAGTGTTTTTAATTTGCTGCCCCACCCCACCAGAGGAGGCCACCAAATACCTGGGGTGCGCAGATACTACAGTAGATATAACTTTTGTACCATGAATAGACTCACACACAGCAGTCTCTCGTGTAATTTTCTCTATGTCGGTATATCAAGAAAAGTCCAGGATTACGTTTTGAGAGAATTATGGACAATAGAGCAGAAGCTGTTTATATACTGTATAATAGTATTTATATTTATCCATAATTATAAATTTATGTCTATATATTTCTGTATAAAAAAGAAGAGTTGGATTAAACAGAGCTGACTCTCCCTTGGGGGGAGTGGTTTATACTGTACAGGTGCCAATGGCGATTGGTCTCATTTCAATATCAGGTCTTTAAACGTCACAGAGAAGGGGCACTTTTCGTTAGGATTGCGTTCAGTTGCCGCTAACATCCCTCACGGTGAATGCGCTCCAATCAGAAGGTCGTAATGTATTCCTCACAAATCGCATTTAACCCTTACTGAGTTCTGTACAGTGCCGATTTTATTAGTTGATTTGCTTTCTCCTACAAAAAGCTTTTCTTAATTTAGTACCACTAACCCAAATACATACGTCTCGCAGTTGGAGATTTTTCTTTTATCGAGACAGAACATTAAAGGCTTCTCCAAAAGTGAACCCACTCATTTTAGCCCAATAAGACCAATTATACATAACGAAGAAAAAAATAATTAACAACAGTAAAATCATGTTACAAAGTCCAACCATCAGCAGCTTAGAGAACCAGTGGTTCTCTGGTATTAGTATCAGGAGCATGTTAAAAATACATGTCCTTGTGCTAAAATAACATATTATGAAGAAAATACAAAATAAAACAGTACCAAATAAGCAAAAGGTAGACCCATGGAAAAGGCCATTAAGACAAAAGATGTTAAAAGATGATTTAAAAATAAAAACACAAATATTCTAAATAAGAATAATAACAATATTGGCATAATGGATTTTTAAAAATAATAACAAATGATAATCATGATTTAAAAAAAAAAGAAGAATGAGTGCTACCAGTAGCCTTCGACCGTAGTGTGGGTTGGCGTACGCTAAGGAGAAACTAGAATGTAGTTTTTTTTAGATGGTGCTTCTTGAAAGAGAGTTGTCTAAATTTCTTAAAGCAATCTCTTGGTGCCAGTCGATAATGGACTGCTGTGATTGGTTAACCAGCCACTGGATAGCCTGCCCTTCCCACCCCCCAGATCTCTGTACAGGATGGGGATGGGAAATGGTGGCTCAGAAGGAACACTTGGTGCACTCCTGAAGAGTTGTACCAGAGGGCTGTGGTCCAGGAGTGGTTACGTTGCATAGTGATCAAAGCTCCCCAGGTACTCCAAAGCGGCTCTGTAGCACAGCTGGTACTGGTCCTGCAGGGGAGAAATCAGCTTGTGTCAGCGGGAGAAACAATCGCCTCCTTAACTAATAACACGGAGTTGGTGACAAAGAGGTCACGCTCCATATCAATTGCTGCTAAAGCTGCTGTCAGTGACTTTTTGGAACACCGTGTATGAAACGTCCCTGAAGACACCACTGAAATAGGTGAAAGGTGTCCTGAGAAATAACACTTTGTTGTCTCTGTGCACCAGCGGCTCTACAAACAACATTATCATGTTAGGCTATGAGGAGGCTGTTGGATAACTATTAACTACTTATCAGTAATTCTAAGTCTTCTAAGTCTAAATCAGCAGCTTTAATTGCATATTGGAGTGGTATTGCAATTTTGGGGCAGTAGGACAGTACCTCTGTCTGCACCATGGCAGGCCTTTGAGTGCGCAGGGTCTTAACGGTCTGGAACAGATCCACCACACCCTCATATCTCATCCTCTCTAGGACAATACTTAGAGTGATGAAAACACCTGTTCTTCCCACTCCAGCACTGAAAAACAACAGCATCTGTTAACTTAACACCTGTTACACAAGGGTGAAGGATCTGCGTGACACATAATACTGAAGTCTACAGTGTAATGCACTAAATCTGGGTGTTTGGGGTTTGTGAGGCTGTGATAGAAATGAAAGGAAATAAATGAATCTAGTTTAAAAAACAAAATGTGTATTTTTAAAATATTAAATTAAATTCTACAATTTAAAAATGTGTCAATTTAATGCATTTGAAAAATAATAATATAAATGATTGTTAAAAACTGTATTTGTTACTTACTGACAAGTTAAAACATTACAAAAATAATAATTATATCAAACATTTTAAATAAAAAATTTGTAAAAAAAAAAGATTGTGTAAAATTGTTTATTAAAAGTTTTTACAATTAAAAAAAGCGTACATTACTAAATAAAAAATAATTATTAAAAATGATTAAATTAAGAGAAATTATACAACTAAAAATGAAATGTGTAAAAATTAGTGCTGTCAAATGATTAATCGCGATTAATCGCATCCAAAATAAAAGTTTTTGTTGACATAATATATGTGTGTGTACTGTGTATATTTATTATGTTTATATAAATACACACACATGCATGTATATATTTAAGAAAAATATGTTATGTTTATATATTAAATATATTTATATATAATATAAATTATGTGAATATAAATATATACATGTAAATACATGTCAATATTTTCAAAATATATACTGTATGTGTGTGTATTTATATATACATAATAAATATACACAGCACACACACATATATTATGTAAACAAAAACATTTATTTTGGATGCGATTAATCGCGATTAATCATTTGACAGCACTAGTAAAAATAAAATTGTTTATTATTAAAATAAAATAAAAAACGAATAATTCATTATTACAATTAGAAAAATATGTAATTAAAATATTTTGTGTAACAATATGTTGTGAACTCTGCATAAACTAAATGTATCCATCACTTTTTATGTGTAAAATGTTTATTTGGTAAGTAGCTGTGTAATAAGCAGGATAATGTGAAGTCATTTGGTCATTATTACAAAATAAACCTTCAGGATGATCATCTGCTGATCATCTGACTGTATATGATCCCTACACATATTTTGCTGTCCGTATTTATATTCAGACTTCAGGTCAGAGGTGAACTTACCTGCAGTGCACAGTGATTGGTCCATCCTGCCCAAACTGCTCCTTGGTTTTATGAACTTGTCCAATGAAATCGATGAACCCCTCTCCAGTTTTTGGCACTCCCTGCTCCGGCCAATCAGTGAACTGGAACTGCCGAATGGTTCTAGACTGACCATCCTGAAGGGAGTAAAGAATTAACGGTTTATTAGGCTGCTGGTTTCACTCTCACAAAGGCACACAACAGCTGGACTCCTCCACAGGAAGCCTCTGTCCATATGCTGACTGTATGACCGTGCGTGTATGCGATTTAGCTACAAGTTTATACATATTTATAGTCGCCAGAAAGCTCTGAAGTCCAAAGCGAGACGCAGGATGTGAGAGTGCCATGTTGGTGTGAAATATCTGCCGCCAGCAACAGATTGCTCACACACCCCAGCGGTGCCCTCAAGTACCATACTGAGTAACATTCGGATAAAAAAACAAACACAAATAACACTCCTCTGGCAGATTCCTACAGGTGATAGATGCACGTACCCTGGCATCTGTGACTTTAAACTCTCGCAGGATGTACTGGGGCATGTTGTATTCAGCCATGGGATCCACCACAAAGTACTGATAGCGGGCAGAGCGCTCAGCTGGCCAGTACTGATGACACTTCTCCTGCAGGATGTGGAAAAATAGAAGTAAATCTTTGAATAAAACACCAGGATGCGAGTTAAAGGGAGGAAGGTGCTCTTACCCGTCCCATCTCTCTGAGTTTGGTCAGCATCACTACAATAGTGGAATTGTGCTCCCATAACATCCTCCAGAAGTCCTCAGTGGTCTCTGCTAGAGGGCCCTGAGTGGCAATATAGGCCTTCTGCTGTCTGTGGACACACAAAAGCGTCTTTTAAGTCCATGATGCAAAACAGGCAAATATACCCAGAACGATCACATGACTATGACAGTGGCTATACAGCTGTGCCTTAACTATATCTGAAATGGGAATGGATGGTCAACTAGTCATTCAATAATGAATTAGTTGGTTGGTAGTCAACTAGTGGATTCATTTTGACCATTAATTACTGTAGAGTCACAATTAGTGTTTTTTTTTGTATTATCTACATACTATTATAGTATTTTTTTAATATTTCAAATTTAGTTTCAGTTTGAACTATTCTGTAATATGCTTTTGTCATTTGTATTAATTTTAAAAATATTTCTATTTACTTTTTTTTTTTTACTTCATTTATTTTTAGCTTTTATTTCTTTGGAAGTTTTAGTAATTTTAGTACATTTTTAGTAGTTATTTTATTTCAATTAGTTGCCAAGGCACTTATATTAAGTTAATGTTTTTTTTCATTGAATATTCTTATTTTATTTCAGATTCTGTTTAAGATTTTGTTTGACCTTTTTTCTTGTTGAATATCTGTCAGTTACCCTATTATATATTATATTACATTTATATATTACTAGGAAACTAAGCAAATTTTTTTTTTTGGGGGGGGGGGGGTCACATATAATATATCCTACTACCTGACAGATATCAATTGGTCTCTGTGACAGCTCTAAACTCAAAAAAGTAAAAAAGGGGAGCATCCCGCCCTTTGTTGAAGGAATGGTGGAGGTCTATTTTAGTGGCTGGCAGAAGTTGCCAAATAAACACTTACATTATGTTTAAAAATGAAAAAAGGACAAGTCTCCGGTGGATTTTTATTCTATAATCTGCTGTTCTAGCCATATATATATATATTTATATACCAGGGGTGGCGAACTCCGGTCCTGTAGAGCCGCAGCCCTGCAGAGTTCAGCTCCAACCCTAATGAAAACTCGCCTGTAGCTTCCTAGTAACCGTTCAGACCTTGATTAGCTTGTGCAGGTGTGTTTGATTAGGGTTGAAGCAAAACTCTGCAGGGCTGCGCAGCTCTCCAGGACCGACATTCGCCACCCCTGATATATATACATAGAGTTTGGGTGTTTTATTAACATGGCCAATGGGTGGCAGCAGCGTACTTTGCTACGGCAGCTTGGGCAATCAATGTGCACATGGCAAACACATCACTGTCTCATACAAACAGTGCCACGGGTAAGCAACTAATGAAGGTGCTGCAGGCGAGGCAATAACATGGAACTGGGAGATTAAAGTCTGCTCAGGGCCTTGTTCCGACAAATAAAGAGACGGCAGAGAAGAAGAGAGGAGAGATGGGGAGAGACGAGCCAGAAAGAAGAGCAAAGAAGAGCGACAGACCCCCTCCCTCCCTCGACCACTCATTCCAGAACACACACACATAGACAAATTCGTCACTACGAAGAACACAAAGCAGACATAAGGGACACATTGCCTTTGACAAAGCCAAGTTACGTCTATATTAATCATGCAGTTCTTCCTTGAAGGTTATTTCCCCCCAATCAAACAAAATTGAACACAAACACTAAAACGGTTATAAAAGCAGACACAAAAAAAGCTCTAATGACGTATCCGCTCGGCTGGCGAAGCTCTTTGTAAACTAGTAAGAAGGTCAAGCGTGTTTCTGTGCTTATCGTATTAACATGCTGTTCAAAAGTGGCTTAATTGCTGCTTTTTGACAAGACGACAAGTCTCCGAGCGAACAGACCCAGATGCTCGGCTAAAGAGGGAGACGTGACCGAAGAATCGCTTTTGAAGCTCATTTGGTTTTAGAAATAAGACTGGCGTCAATTACGCATTGGCACAGGTTGAGCTCCTCTAGAGTAGCTCTCATTAAGTTTTAATTCAAACAAGAGGGGCTGATGTATCAAGCCCCTAGACATTTCCTTCACAGACTCTGTGACATTTTGTGCCCACGCTTCGTTTTACGGCAAACACGATTGGCCTTTTCTCTCTTGCTTTTCCTTCTCTGATTTTCTCAAATGTTCGCCCCATTGAGAGCGCCTCCTTTTGTAATTCAATAAACAGCTGTCAGAAAGTGTAAGGCAAAAAAATGTGAAGGCTGAAAATGTGTAGACAAACTACACTGTGCTGCTCATTGTTTAGGGAGAATATTGCTGTGAAGAAAAAAAGAGAGTTATGGATCATCTCATTTCCCAAGTATGAGAACGAGTCTTGACGCCTGATGCAAACAGAACAGGAGGAACAAAAAGAAGTCAACAAATCTGCTGATCAAAACCACTGGATTTATTTAGAGATAGATTTAGAGGCATACATCAACACTCGCCAAGCACCTTATGTGAGCAAAAATTGGTTTAATTGGTAATAATTGGTGAGTAAATAACACATGCCAGTTGCAGTAGCGGCTCCTGACCGTAAATTTAGGTGGGGCAGATTCTG